TTTAATAATTTAAAAGTAATATATTGAATGTATGAGTCAGTTGCAGATTCCGATAATGAAATATCATCTTCTCACGCCTACGGAACTTGGAAAAATCATTTAATAATGTATTTTATAGACTTGACACCTACGTTATTATCTATTATAAAAAGTGAGAATCTTATTAGTATAACTATACGAATATCTATTCTAGAATAATGAATAAGAATCATTGTCGTAAATAATGCCCAACAAAAAATACTACTTCAAATTTAAAAATCGAATATCAACAAATAAATGGGGTGTTATTTATTCAACCCATTAAAGAGTATGTCGTACCGCGTGTAAGTTCGGCAACGTCGCATTATTTAATATCTAACGCTTCATGCTAATAGCAAATGTTTGATAATATACGCAAAAATTGATTTTAGGACCTTTTAACAATACTTATTACTAGCAATGAGAAGTATGGTAACTATCCATACTTTATATGTTCTTTAATATTAAACGATGATTCTACAGTTTAAAATTTCTTACATATTTGCTGTCAGCATGTCAGCTCAGTGGTTAAGCGTACGTTCCACATCCCAGGTCGTGCGATGCCCGTCATCGTACCAATAGTTATTATTTCATTAATTCGGAAAACATGACGAAATTAACTTGGCTTAGTCCCAAAAATCTACAATGTGAAGGTAAGGATTGAAGCGACTCTGCATGTACCTATTTAAGTATTCCAAATTCAAATGACGAACTTATGTTTATTAGCTGATATTACGAGTCTTCGAACAGAGCAGTGAATTATTTTTGTACCTACCTGTTATTTTTGTTATTCGATCTAGACTTAAATAAATCTTTACTCATCGATAACATACGATGACTAATTAGTCATTCGCTTCGTCATTTTGACCCCGAGTGCAGTCAGAATGTCACGGCAGTTTACTTAAGACTAACATAATTTAAATTATATAAATAAAAATGTACAAAATGGACTAATATAATATCGATTTATTTTCGTAAAAAATATATACATACTTACGTCCCAATAAATCGACACAGCGTAAAATTTATTGATATTATTATACAATACCTGTTAATAGATTATTTGTTAGATAATATTAATTACGAATTACTTAGTTTCGGATGAAAATATTTTATTCTTTAAAAAAATTATATGCGTTCCAAATGAAACAACTTTATGCATCGTTTGAACCCTTACAACGCAAATTCTTTCAGTAACATACGCCATTAAGTAAATATTGAAAAAGTTGACCACAAATTCAATCAGAAACGTTCTTATAGCAGTCGATAACTAATAATTTTTGTGAGTTGCACCATTTAGATTATAATCAATTCTGTTCTTTTTACCTACTAATTATTAGGTACTGTACATTATCGACGCAGGTTTTAAACAATTAAATAACTGGAAAAATTATTCAACACTTGTCACTGACACACATAGCCATTGATAAACATTTATCTATTACTCGCCAATAATCAGATTTCTTAATTTCAGCACGCAAACCGTGTTACTGAACGCAAGATGTGCAATTCTGCAATGAACTTGAAATAGTTTTGCAACAGTACTGGTTAATATTCTTTGAAATATACGCCACAGTAGCGCCCATAACGTGAACTAAATGTTTATTGCCAACGATCACCCTACGCTTATGTATAGTTCTACGTATATTCAAATATTTTGAACATAATACGGTTCCATGGCCCGTGTGCGTAAGTTTTGTTGCGTGGTGGGTTCATAATGATTGTGTAGTACTATCATTGTCTGAGAAGACTAAAAGATGAATGTAAGATGTTTTTGTTTTTTAGAAGTAATAAAAAAGGTAATATGTCAGTTAGTATATTATATTATAATTAAAGTTGTAAAGTAGTTTTCTGAACAAAAACAATTAAAAACAGAGAGATTTTGTCTATGTATAGATTTCAACGTTTTGAAACGTATAAAAATTGTTATTCTTGTAAAATTGGATATAAAATATTGAAAAACACGATATGCTTTGATAACAATATCAAAACGAATCCGGTTTTATTAATAACGTTGTTTGTGTTGGAAAGACAAAAGCACTTGGAAGTACGACAGCCCGTAGCAATATTAGGACTCAAATACAAATGATTGCAACATGTGCTTAGTGACACTGACATAGCGTATCTACTATTAAATTACAATGGTTGTAGATCGGGCAAGATTGTAAGCTCAATTAAGCTTCAGCCAAGATACCTAGCTCAAGGCTGCAAATTCGTGGGTGCGGTGGATACAAATAATATATTCTATGTGCAAACAGTGTAAAGGTTATACCGCTTGAGGCACGTAAGGCGATGCAAAGTCAAAGGTTCGCATTGATAAGGTTATAAGTAGTTTAACGGAAGATTAAAAACGTTTTTGCATTATCGATAAATTGATCGTATTTATAAGGCCAACATTATTGTATGTTTATTGAAGAGTAAATAATTGATGGAAAATTATGAGAGTATTTTTTTTCTATTGTTAGTGTCGTTTTTTCTAAAAACGTAGAATAAGGGGAAAGATAAATTTTTTGAAAAGATTTTTATCTTGTTACGCCAAAGAAATATTATATAACTTCTACATACACTGTACATAAGTACACACACGTTTTTTCTGTCTACGCTGGACGACCTCTGCTCCACCTGGGGGGCCTTAATTCAAGTTTAATTAAGAAGTGATGGTGCTGAAATTGGAAACTGAATGCAGATATAAAGACATTATGAATATTCTATGTCTACCATCTTCGTGGTATGTATTTATTGTAAACTGTATATTAGAAAGATACAGATACAGTTAATATAAATAACTTTCATCAGCTTAAACAATACATAGAATTACATAGTTTACGTAACGAATAATATTGTTTTTTTTTATGGTAAATTATAAAGAAATTTGTGGGCGTATCTGGAACCAAGCGGAAGTAAGGAAATAAAAGTGAACATACACAGATTCAAGAATTCGTGTTTACTCTTCAAATTGTATGGAAAATACGTTCGTGTTGTACAATATAATATTGACTAATAGTAGACGAAACTGTGGTAAGGTTCTTTGGTATAATTGACTCTAGTAACCAAAAACTATGAATTTCTTATCTTCTTGTCAAATAATTGTCTATGACAAAACCCAGCCGCTCTTAAGCGAAGGTCATATAAATCGAGATGCGCCTTTAACTATGGTAAGGTCGCAATCCTTAAACGTGATTCAGTTATGATGCTAATTATATCACCGCTTAAAATACCACGTATGTGGTAATTTCTTAAAGTAGGCTAATGTACATGTAGTGGTACATGAGTTTCTTTAAGATTTGATTATTCATACTTCGAGCTGTTGTTAGAAATTACTTTTATCCAAGATTAAACGTATGAAATAATACACGTACCTTATAAATATAATCAATACTTCAATTGTTTTTGTTCGCCATTAAACTAATAAGTATGCAATCTGTACTAATTATTATCTTTTTTTTAATGCGGAAAATGCATTTTTGCGCAGGGAACTCGCTATAATGATATCCCTACCTACTAAACCCCTAAATTACAAATGGTGGATCTTCGGGTCGAGTAAACATTAAGAACCCCCAAGAGTAACGGCTAATCCTCGGTTATTAACCTGTCATATCCTCTGGTTTAGTGGGGTGTTATTTTCTAATATTATTCAACCTAAACAAATCAAACAGTTTATTAAGAACGAGATAATATCAGGAACTAATTTGGATTGGAAACTTTTAAAAATAAATTAAATGAAAATGAATTTAATAAATAAAGGTCACACGATCACGTCACGACCGAACTACTGCGGATGAGGCACAAGTAGTATACAATATATTTTTCATACTTAATTTCTATTTAATTGGTTCGTAGTTTTATAAATTCGTACAAGTTAATTTTAATTGTATTATTCCTGTCTCCCTAAGGTAATTATGGATTATCTATAGGTGGAGTTTTGTAATAAGTACTGATTTTATTTTATTGTAATCATAATTTACTTTTTGTTAAAATACTGACAATGTAATCTACACTAATATTTAAAGAGGAAAACTTTGTTTGTTTGTTTGATTGAATGAATAGGCCAACTACTGACGATTTTAAAAATTCTTTCACCATTCGAAAGCTACATATCCACGAGTAATAAACTAAAGATAAATAAAATGTTCCAAGTAATTGTAACCTTACTCAAAAACAGAAAACCTATGGGAATAATGGCAAAACGGCGTTTCCGATCAGCTATTAAAAAATACGAAAATTACCTAAGGGAGCGTTCAAGTATTATGTAACGAATTTGGGGGGGGGGGTGTTTGGTTCCTCTTGAACATTACGATGCGGGGCGGGAATTGAATTACGCGTTAATGTTAATATTATTTTCGACTTTCCAGTACTTTACACCACATAATGGTAACTTTTAGGTATAAAGAGTCACTGGGTGGTCACGAAACGTTTTACTATTACAGAAAAACGTTACGGCGCCGAACATGGGGGAATCTCCAAAAATTGCGTGACTTCATACTTAGCTCCCTAAGCCATATGTTATAGTACCATTAAAATTATATTTATGATTATAAATTATAAAATGATTACACAAAATAATCAAATGTATTCAAAATAGCCGCCAGTTGCTCTCCTTTTTATTTAATTATGTCAATTGTACTATATTTATGAATATGCAACGAAGTGTTAATAAATAAATAAATATCTTATGAAGATGTTTTTTCACGCAATCAAGACTTAATAATCATTTCAATATATGCATTCATGAATGTTTATAAATCCTGTATCAATAAATCAGACGAGGTCATCAATTTAATGGAAAATATCAAAATTCTAAATGTTAGACTATCTTAATGTGAACCAGGAAGTAATATAATCTATAAAACTCGTTCACGATTATAAAATTACCAATTTAGGTGGTTCTTAACGTTTTAGGTATCCGGTGTAAACTTGATAAGGGTTATAAATGAAAAATAAAAATCTAGACGGCCTTAACTCATAGTTGTCGAACAACTTACCAGGTATGGCCATTCCAAGTTCAAGGTACTCTTTAACAGAGGGGCTGAGAAAAGAACTAGGTGCCGATGAGGTTTTGACTTCTGGCTCGGGAGCATCTAAGGCTTGAGCGGGCTCTCTCACGGCGGCACTGTCTGCACGCACGCGTTTCCTTCTAGAACCATCTTCAGAACATCCTACAAGAAGTTTTATCTTTACTAGTGGGTATTTTTGAGATAATAATGCTAGCTTATGCTAAACTAGTTTTTAGACACTAAAACTAAAAATTTGTGTTATTTACTCTAATCAAATATGTATGAAACACGAATGCTGTTTATTGATTGACAAAGTTAAAGTTTCTGTTATTAATGTATGTTTTTAAAATTGTTCATGTTAATATGCAAATAGACTTCGACCAACTTTTGTTCGACAACTGATACTGATAGTTTCAGTTTGATGCCACGTTAGGTGATTTAGACGGACCTTATGTGTTCATCGTAATCCTTATATTAAAATATTGAAGTGTTTGAAGGAGAGAAGTTAGAAAATAGTGATAAAAGATTTCAACGCATGTTATTTGAAATTGAATTAGAAACTAGAAAAACTCGACAATTCCCATGCACAGTCTTTAGCATAAATCATACAACGAAACATTCAAATTTGCGTAACTTGTGTTTTAGGTATTTCTATTACTCTTATTACATACGACAATTTTTTTTAAATTTGTTTTGTTAATATATAAACTTTACCTATTTCTTTAACCTATGATAAAAATAAATATAAAAAAACAACGTAGCACAGGAATTGTGTAATATACTTATAGACAATAATTAATATATACATATAAGTGTATTGTCATCGTACTACATTTAAATAAAACTTCTTTAACGGAAATCGAGTTGAGTAACGTAAATAATGTAGTAAATTAGTTTTAAAAAAATAATAATATAACAAAACACTGAAATACAATTTTTATTATTATACCAACCAGTACTTACCGGATAGAGAAACAATAGCCGCCAAAAATAAGAAACAAAGTTTTCTGGTGATCATTTTGATGTTAAAGAACAACAGACACTATTAATACGAAATAAAATAAATAATTTTCTTTGACATTGAGTACTTGATGTTAAAACACTTCGAGTTTTAACCGCGGTTGCAATGATTTACGTAACTGGCGTGTAGTGTGGAGGACTGACACCCGCGCAATGTCTTCACTCGACACGCGCTAACCAGATTCAACAACTAAAAGCTCCGCGATATAATTACTGTGGCCTCTAAAGCTTATTAAACACATAATATTAAATTAATGTAGCTATGAAAAATAAGTACCTAAGTACCTAGTATAAACCTAAGTACCTAATCAGGAAGCTCTACAAATGCAAATTCAATATAAACTTAATTTTCAATATGTTAAATTCTATTTTTAATCTCTGCATCTTAAGATTAAGGATATCCCAAATGTTCACAGCGCCGTGAAATGTTTTTTATTAATGAACTGAAAAGCCACGAATGCATTGATGACACGCTAACCAAGCCATATTTAGTTATAGCACGCACCATACCAGTCACCTTTGCCAAAACATTAAATTTTATTCTCAATGTGAAAGAAGAATAACGAATACAAAAAAATATAACTATTACATACCTGAAACAGATGCACTGATAATAAATTGCGAGTCATTTCCGCGTCCGAGAATGCAAACGAAAAAATGTGTCACCGATTTCTACCCCAAAAAGACGATTGGCGCCAAAAACTAACACGACACGCTCGCCTATTCTGTATTGGGACTTCGCCTCATGTTTTTTAATAATTATTTTAAAATACACATTCTAATTGTATGTACTAAGTTTTCTGTAGTAAAATCTTATGGGTCAACTATAATTAATTAATAATATATTTAAAGGACAAGCTACTTAGCCCGCCATTTTTTTCACCATCCGCCACAGATAAGTATTATTGGGATATATTATGATAAGTATTATGTACTACAATTGTTGCTTTATCGTAGTTTAGCAATTCCATCAAGCAGTTGTAATAAGAAATTTAATTAAAAAAATACATATTATTAAAATCTATATTTCAACACACGTCGTATATCAAAAATAGTTACATATATACCCATTAAAAATAGACTACAACTTCCAAAAAAACACGATTCATTATAACCATTTTATTACTCATTTAATAAGCACAATTTTAACGTTGAGTACTCTTCGCAATCTGTTCCTTAAGCATCAAAATACTGGAGCGCTGTTCCGGCGGAAGTAGAGCGATTTGTTCATCTGACAGCTGCAGTACTTGCATAATCAATGCAGCCTGAAACAATATTATTATCGTAAGACATACATAGTTATATCTCTATAGGTAAAGTTCGAGTTACCAACGAAGTAATAGTAATACGGGCGCTACAACCCGTCATGGGGTATGGCCTGATTTGGTTTGGATTACATATTTCTTCATTTTTTTCTTTAACTTATAAACCTACTTGCTTACAAGGTGATCAGCCTTTTGTGATTTTTTAGTGTAAGGGACGGTTTACGCCATTTTTGGACCCAACGCCCCCATGTAGATCACGTAACGTTTTAGTGACCAGCCTTTTTGTGTCCGAGAGTAAAAGTTTCGTGTCATCTAGAGATCTTTGTATTTTTAGTGTAAAGTAGGAAAGCGAAAATTTCAACGCGTATCCCCCCCCCGTACGTAACGTTTTACAACGGGCCCCCCCCCCCCTTTTTGGCGAGAATGTTCGCGAGATTTGAAACAGCCTAGCACTTTTAAGGCTTTTATCAATTTACTTAGGCTTTTAAGACATACTTGGTCTCTCAAAGCCAACGCTAGAAAGCATTATTGATTGTGATGTAAAGTAGACAATGCTAGTAAAATGTTATTAAGTCCTAACCTTCTCTTGGTCAGAGGCCCCAGAAGGTATTCCTTGGATAGTTCTCGCTTGCGCGGCACTGGGCATTCCCGGCGGCATTTGGGGAGCTGAAAATAACGTAACCATAAGGATCATAGGCATACATAGGCGTTTTTTTCTGATCACTTATTTATTTATTTATTTCGTTACCTTAAACATTAAAAACCCATGTTACATATTAAGTTATTAGGCAATGGGCGGCCTTATCGGTATCAAGTGATTTCTTCCAAGTACTACTTAACTAAAATAAAAACGGGCACTTGACGAGAGATAGCAGGTTGAAATTGATAAAGGAAACCAAACGCGATGAAAAAGGTAAAGCGAAAGACAGAGCAAGAGATGGGCAGACGATATAAAGAGAATAGGGGGCACAACATGTACAAGAAGAGCTAACATCAGAAAAAATGGAAGCAGCTGGAAGAGGCCTATGTGTCACAGGACACGCTGATTACCAAAAACGGGTCATATGATGTATTAGATTAAGTTTTATTATGTAACTTAAATAAGTGTTCTAACTTAAATCCGTTTTAGAGAAAGCATTGTGCCTTTCTCGAACCTAATTCGCTGATGATTTTTCTTTTTTTTCTGCTTTAAGTGCCAACAAATTTCTATAATTTTATTTTATTTCAGTGTGTGCTTGTATTATCTTGTATATGTTTTAATTGTATTTTTTTTTTGTGAAACTTATGTTTACTTTAATTGTCACACATTTTAGATGTAAGATTTTGTAAAATAATTAGTAGATTTAGTACTATGTGTGATGTCGTAAGCTTAATAACTAAATAAATAAGTTTTCATATATTACACTAGATGTCAGCCATAAAGACTTCATAAAAAAAATGTAAAAGCTAATGTTAGGGTTATTAAGCAGAATTAAAATATAAGTAGCTAATTATGAGGCAGAAGAGGAATCCTCAAAACGAACATTCTTAAATATTTTTTATAATGTTTTTTGCTTTCAATCCTAGAAAAACATCATTCAAATTGTGTTTGCACGCATCGTAAACGATGTTAATTTCTGAATCGATGAAACCAAAAAAAATATGTTTTGGATAAAATTGCTTGACTTTTATTATAAAATGGCTTCCTTATTTGTATGTAAAGTAAATGTAAAAGATTCATGGAATTGGATTGAATAAAGATTACCATATATTATTTATAATTTAACATGACCACTTATGAAAGTACCAGAAATTGCCGGCTGATTTGCGAATCTAACCATCCAGATCCCTTGAACACACACAAAAATTTAGCAACCATCTTTGGGGATACATGCACAGAAGAAATATATATCTTAGGATTTAATGTTTTCGCCTGCAAAATTTCATAATTCGTTAATTTCATGTTAATCTAATTTCACTAAACTTTTATTTGTGCCAACTGGGCACAAGGTACTTCGCCAGTGTCGTGTAGATGGAGAAGGCACGAAGGAGAAATTTCAAACTTTGAATTCTTCTTAGTTGTAATGGCATCGACAAAGCAATAATTGTTTTAATACACGACAGAGTCAGTAAAGTCATAAAAAATAAAAAGTAAAAAAAATCTCCAACGTCAATAATATTTGTATATACTCACGTGGTTGTTGCATCTTGGTCTGTGTTCTGGGATCGTTGGATCTCACTCGCGGGTCCGAGTTGAAACTTTGCATGTTTGCTAGACGAGGATCCCGAGGGAACATCCTATGTAATCAATTGTATCATTAGTTGTTTAAAAATGTTTTAAATACTTAAAATACAATATAAATGTTTGTCATATATCATTGTGATTCGATTGCTTATATTCGTTGTGTCTTCTCAATACCCTCTAAATGGAGTAAATTTTGAATCTGTTCTATTCGCTATAGGCACATAATGTAATCATGCAATTTTCAGACAACACTAAAACCATAGACTTGTCAATAGTCTAGTCTGTGACCTGTCAAACTTGTTTATGGACTTAATATTTTAAAGAGAAATCAATAAAATTGTATGAAATTATTTAAGAAATAAAAGCAAAAATCTGCGATGAAATTATAGAGATCCATAATTTATAGTATAAATTGTGTAATGAGTCTGAATGGTCACAAATAGTTCCTAACATGTTTGACTTGTATGCATAACAACTACGGTGCAATATAAAACATCTATTATACATAGATCTTACCTCTCCAAGGCACTTTCCGTAATTTGAGGAGGTCTTAAACATAAGTATATAGATTGTATGAGTACTAGCTTACGCAGGTCCGCGTGGATTGCGGCAACAATTTTTGACGATATGTTTAACATAAATCGTTATAATTCAGTCTACGTACGTAATAGAGCCTACAAATATCCGTTCGGTAGTTTATGAGTTCGGTCGCGGGAAATTTTTAAATTATTGATTATACTTAGTCTCGCCATAAAAACAATTACAATTGAAAATGACATTTGAATTTGGAATCTGTCATTTTTATATGATTGTTCATTGAGTTTTTTCATGTTGGCGCCAATACATTGTACGCCGATATTAAAATCCACTCCATTTTAATATCGCCAAAAATTGGTGATAAAGACAACCGAATCGCTGTGATTGCATTACACAAAGTAGGTATGGAACCAAATGCAATTTTTAAAACCATACACTTGGTATTGGTAAAATGTTTGTGTACCGGGATATTAATAGGTACAATGAGACCTCTGTATGTGACAGAAAAAGATCTGGCCGTCCACGTAGTGTTCGTACGAAAAAGGTGGTCAAAGCAGTAAGGGAAAGGATTCGAAGAAATCCTATCTGTATTCCAGCCAATGGTGACCACTTCGAATAAGCTTTTATATTTTAAATTGTTTTATATTTATGTATTAAACTAACACACAAAAGTAAGTAATAAATGTTATTTGCAATTAAAAAAAAAAGTTCCGTGTTCCACTATTTATGGCAAGACTATGTATAGTTATTTTACTCCACAAGGCTTATTAAAGCTATGTTTAAACAGATTAGTCATAATGACACCTTCATACTGTCAAATAGCCTGTTATTGACTCCGGGTTCGCGATTAAACATTTATCCAGAAACCTGGCGTAAGCAATCGCAAAGTTACTAATGATAATATTTATACTGACTCTTGCGCAGGCGGCGGTACCGGTCCAGGCATTACTGGTGGCAAACTTCGCATGTCCTGGTCTAAGGCACGGGAGCTTCGAAGGTCCACGTCCATTCCCATCGGAGGCATACCCATATTTGGACGAGCTACACATTGGAAGTAAGGGTGAGATTGATCAATTACCAAAAACGTGTTGGTCATGCTGTCTCGATATCTCCGGTACAAAATTGAATAATTGAAAATGTTCTGTCAAAGGGAACATGATTTTAGAGGCACAGTGCCTCTATATTATGGGCTGGTTCGTTAGTTGCGGGTTTGTAACAATATTAGACATTACATTATTTTGCAGACGATTTCATATGATATATTCTCATTTATTTAATAAATTTATGTCAATGTGAATTTTGACAGATGACAGTTTGATCCTAAAATGGTCTTTGGATATTTGGCTAAGCTAAGCTTACCAACACGGCACTTTAACGTGATCAGTTTGTTATGCTGTTTTAATAATAGTACTCATTCGAAGATATGGATTCTGACAAATGTAGACCCGGCGAACTTAGTACCGCCTAACACTCAATAAATGTCGTGTTATACATTAGCTGAACGTAATTTATGACTTTATAAAAATTAATACCAAATAAATATTAAGTTCACTTCTATCACCGAATTGCAATTCTACGTTTAATACTATCAACATTACAATGCGGTTAATTTGTTGTATATTTAAGTAGATTCATATATTTTCCGTTCATTACTTAAAATAAATTTCTGAACGCTCGCTTGAATACTTGACAACCAATATATGTATATGTCATTTCTTATATTATTTTACATTTTTAAAATCTAAAATTCGCCACTATCCGAATATAAATCTTGTCAATTCGAAACCTTTATTAAATAAGTTCTTTAATTATAAGGTAGAGTTTACCGTATCAATGGGTAGAACATTACATTTTTGACAGTTAAGAAAAACCCACAAACATTTTGTATCGGATTTTTCTTTCTTTTATTTTTCCCCGTCAATTTTTCAATGTAACCATGAAAATTGGTCCCGCCTATCTCTACTTATAAGTGTTCGAACAAAGCCAGATGTATTTGATATAAATGTAAGTAAAAAAAATTATCACTTACGGTTATATTGATTGGGAGGTGGCACAGGTGTATTCAGAAGTGGCGGTTGTTGTACTGAAATTGTAAAGAATATATATCATGATGTATACATCTATCTATAATGACGTTATATTATCGACATAACAAAAACTTTGCACTGCTGCGACCTCAAATCCTACGACACTTTCGCATTAATAATGCGACAGTCATTAATAAAAGCATTCGAAGACGACGAACTCACTGTATGAGTTTTCTAACCGAGTAAAGTATTTTAAAGTTTAAACCAACCAAGCAGTTGTTCTACTACACACTTAAAGACTAGCCTTTTCATGTTAATTTGTCACTACGTAAGCTTTTTAAACAGCCACTTTTTACTTTGTGTAAGAATATTTTTTCAGTATTGCAGTTGGTCACAAATTTCCAATTCTGTCATTTATTTTTGGAATGCCTAGGTTTTCATTGACATCATTTTATTAAGTAAACATCCACTTTTATTATGAATAATAAAGTTTTTCTTTCTTTATTTCTTTCATTGTCGATACAGACATTAGCAATAATAGCTGTGGAACCGTTTTGGTGGCTCAATTTTATATACATATTAAAATTAATTAATTTATAAATTAATTTTAAAATATTTTGAGAGAAATATTAATAATTTATCTTATCTATTTTTGTTTATAAGATTCCTGTATCTCTCCCGTTCTACGGCCTTGATTTGAAAACTGGCAGTAAATGTAAAATTAGAAGTATTAATATGTATCTCTTTACTGACAAGTCTTAAGTGTACATTATGTTACCTATGATTCTAAATGATTTTTTACTTTTGTATGCTGTGTAATAAGGGGAAGGTACCTGGCATTTGTTGTGGTGGTGGGTTGTAACTTTGCGGTTTGTCTCCCGGCTGCATTAGTGGTGGTAGCGGGTTACTTGGATGTAACATACTCTGAAAAAGATTGATCACACAAATTGATTTCAAATTTTTTTATTTGTAATAAAAGTGTAAGGACTTTTTAAAATTTCATTCGTGTTACTCTGTGCTTCCACCAGTATTGTACGTAATTGTTAACAACATAAAAATAGGGCAAAATATATTATCCGGCAGTTGACATTGTAGAAGTTTGGACAGAACAAGAACAGCAAAGGTTTGCAAGAGAGTAATAATAATGTTTTAAGTAAATTAAGTAATTAATGTATCATCTGAAGTACATAGTTGTAGAAATGATAACAAACAAAAATTAAATTGTTTCTATTTGACTGTTTAGCTTTTGTATTGTTTTGATTTATTTTTGTATTTCCTGTTTATGTTAACTAAACTATGCAGGTATTTTTAGTGTTAATTATAGATATAAGGGAATTTAGATCCATACATTTGCCTTATGTATAAATTCTAGTTACTAATTGCATGAAACACTTCCAAATTAATTTTAAAAAAATATGTTTATTATGGAACATAAGATACAGGTATCACTTATTCCACGTCATTAAATTTGAATTTGTAGGCATCCGTACTCATCGGCAAAGAAGACAGAGGGTGTAGGCCGAGAGAAAAAGCCGGCGTAAAAAACTCTAGATACTCTTTTAAAATAGCAAATCATCAAACAACACTTATTTTAAATAATATCGCAAATTAATTAGAAGTAGCCTGTCTAGCACTAGTCCCAGGCCCTTTTAACAAATAGATAATCGTTAACTTTATAGTAAGCCGTTAGGGTGCGTCCTACCTAACGATTTTTTTTGTCCTTTTGTAAAACGTTACGATACGGGGCGGGGATTAAATTACGCGTTATTGTTAATATTTTTTTCGACTTACACCAAATAATAGTAACTAAAGAGTCACTAGGTGGTCACGAAACGTTTTACTATACTTGGGTACAGACTACTGTACACTAGTACTTGGGTACTGAAAAACGTTACGGCGAGTTACATGGGGGGGGGGGGTCAATAATCTCCAAAAATTGCGTTACGTAATCCTTGAACGCTCCCTTATATATTAAATGCTTTTTTTAATTTTAAATGATACACCTTTTTGTAGAAATGCATTGGTTTAGTTTATAGATTGTTATCAATATTAAAAATAAATGAAATAATACAAAAAAATCTTTCTGAATTTTTTTTTTTGTCTGTTCCTAATGCAGTGGTACCTCGATATATGAGTGTTTTAAGATACAACCAGCACAGCGAGCAAAATTTGGCTTTGCAATGAGAGCATAATTCGAGTTATGAAGACTCACATACTACACACTGCACTAACAGGTTCTCGCACCTCAGACTAGACCTCAGTCTGTCTGCTTTTTCCCTCGTTATGATGAGCTGGGTTCGCATTTTTTGCTTTTTGTACATTTACAAAACATTCTCACATTTATTTCTTTAACCATGGGTCCGAATGTCTATAGAATAAAAGCGTGAAATCATTTTCCTATTCAAAAACAACTGAGGTGGTATTGTGGGGGCTGCAACAGATTAATGGCATTTCAGTTAAATTTCAATAGCGAAAATTGCGTTGAGCATTTTGAGATACAAGCATTTTGACATACTAGCAAGGTAATGGAACAAATTTAACTCATATATCGAGGTACCACTGTAGTTGCATTCTGTTAAACATTCATAAACAGTCTTAGCACTAAATATGGCTTCCATACCTCAAATACATTTTTGACATACAGTAGTCATACAAAGCAATTAGTTTGAAACTCTAAATCTTATCCTCAGTCTGTGTAGTTTAAAAATGACCAGGCAAATAAACCATGAAAATATTTTGTAGTAATTTATTGTAGTATGTAAAATAATTAAAGTAATGCTTACTACAGCTGTAACTGGATCTACAATTCTCATAATAACTTGTGCTTGTAACAAGGCATAAGCCAACTGTGGGTTTTGAAGCAACATATTTCTTGCTTCTGTTGGGTTATTCTGAAAACATCAAAATTTTTGGTTAGGTATCTGAAATATTTTGATGTCTAATGGGGCTTTAATTTTATAAAAACATAAAATAAATCAGTTGCGCTACAACCTTTTTAGAAAGCACATAGAAAGAAAGTCAATTGGTGCACAGCCGGGGATCGAACCTACGAACTCAGGGATGAGAGTCGCACACCAAAGCCACTAGGCCAACACTGCTCCACTGCACTGCACTGCACTGCTGCTTTAATTTTATACTATTGTTAAAACTTCCTTTTCAATTATTATTTACTCACTTGAATACAAAGTTTCATCTGTTTCATAAGCTCAAACATTTGCTCAGGAGGTAATGTCGCCACAGCCTTGCTCACTGCCTCAGGTGCCTTCTCTGGGTCACAAGGGTCACCATATGGATTCTCTACCTATAAAGAATTTTGTATAAGATCCAAGTCCTTTTAAATATATGTACTTAATCGCATGATTTTTAAAATATATTTAACAATCATTTATAAAAATTTTACATAAATCCCTAATACTATTCCTACCATTGAGGATGGTTAGGTTAAAAATATAAATCCCTTAGGAGTCTTTTTTCTGAAATAATTTGAAGTTAATTCACAAATCTTCAGCAAAAAGGTATTTTATGACTATTGGATAGTATGTTATGACTTACAATTTAGATTTTGTGAATATGGATTTGAAAAAATCTGACCTGTGGACCCTGCATCAAAGCCTGCATTTCCATTCTAGACTTCTCAGTACAAGCATTATCTACTCTCAATGATCTACCACCAATTTCATAACCATTCAAATTTCTCATGGCACTTAGAGCCGTCTCTTGATCTTTGTATTCACAAAAGCCATATCCTTTTGGCTTTCCAGTCTCCCTATCGAACACCAATTTAAAAGAAAGTACTGGACCGACTTCACTAAATATATCCTTTAATTTTTCCTCAGTCGCCTCATATGGTATATTCCCGACTAAAAACAAGGATAACATTGTTTATAAAAATACTGTTAAAATGTATTGCTATTGTTTTGTAAATAATAACACACCAAAAACTGATCTCATGGATTTATCCATTATGCTCTGCTCTTCCTTTTCTTTGCTTTTATCCATTTTTAGTTTGTAAGATTTAGCAACTAAAACCGAATTTTTGTAAAAAGATTCTGAGGTATTTTCACTTAATCCACAAACAAGAAACTAGAAACAGAAAGACTAGTTGATCAACTAAGAGTAAAGATATACCTAAAATCTAAATGTGACCGGCAGGCAGTGATGCCAACTCCTACAAAATGTTCCCCCTAGGACCAACTACAAATACCCCTAAATGTCGATCAAAAACCCTTAAAGTTTTTGTTGTACACTTGGTTTGAGAGGTAATTTCAAAATATATGAATTAAAAATACGTTGAAGTAGTAAAAAATAGCTGTTGTATAATTTATATTATGTGAGTACATTTTACATATTTATATATGTTAATGACCGAATAATATTAATGATAATAACAATGAGATGAAACGATTCAGATTTTGAAGTTATATTCTTTAGGCGCGTTATGAAAAATTTATGAGAGTGAAATTTTACGATGCGCGCGCACCTGTGACACAAAATTGGGAGTGTGATTATACGTGCACGAGCGAGATAGGAATACAATCTACAAGTAAAAAGAAATAGAATATGCGTGAAGTTCGTATGCCAAGAATTTTGAATGACCATAATGACATTTGTCATTTACCTTTTAAACAAATAAAGGAGTTTTGATTAATTTTTCAAAGAAATTTATTAATTTTATATTGTGCAATACTGCCAAAGTACAACATACTTCTTAGTGTTTGGTAGAGATGTTCTAATTTATTATATATACTTTTAACTAAATAGAATTTATGTTACACTTAATGTAAGAGAATAATAATAAATAATTATTTATTTAATTTTTCAAATTAAATGAACTAATTGACTATAATGACCCCTTTTCCAGTCTTTGATTATTTAATTGTAATTAATTATTATTTGCATGCGAAAACTATTTTTAATAATGCCAAAGAAGTAACCTCTCACTGCGCGTACATAAGTACACGCACCCTTTTTTTATTTCTTAACTTTTCTTTCTTCGAATTCAGTTTTTCTTAACGTTTCTTGGCAGACAATTTTTTGCGTTTTCGTCATTTTCTTTTAATACATTATTTTTAAAGCTTTTTATACTTTCCTTTTTTATCTGTTCTGTTACAATTAAACGAGACAGAATTAAAATAAAAAACGAATTGCTTCAATGTTTTCTTTTCCTTCTAACACAATATTATTAAATGTCATTGGGATAAGCTTCTAATACTTCGTCGAAGGCATCGGCCTGGATATTGCGCTGCGTTTTGCTGTTGCTGATATTTTTGAAATCGTATATATTGACGTTAAATGATTTGATCATACGGTCAGAAGGAACAAATTTGACACATTAAATTTTATATAAATTGTATAGAATTGTGTGTTTGTAGAGAAAAAAAATCTTGAATGAAGTGCCCCCTAAATAAATGTACCCCATAAAAACCCCCTGGACATCTTGATTAACCCTAAATTTGGGGGGAAAACCCCCAAGTTGGCATCACTGCCGGCGGGCGGTAAATGGCAATCGGCCGGCATAAGATATTTCGTTTTGACTTTTGATCTCAACCATAGATAGCATAGCAAAACTTTGGCTGAATATATGTAAATAGCTTATTTTAGCAAAAGGGTATAGAAAGGGTCTACATACATAATATACATATACATAGAGTAAAATACTCTGAGATCTGACTAACTTTATTATCTAGAGCTACATATCAAGGAGAGAATTTGTTTTTCTATTGTCTACTTTAGTCAGTATAGTCTGTGGTGTAGTCTGCAAATGGCAATTTCAAGATTCATGTATTTTTATTTGCATTTTGCAATCAATTTTAGAAGTTCTCTATTGTAAAGCTCTCTTGGCATAATTCGTAAAAATAACGATTACGTCTTAATCACAACTTAATCAAGTTATTGGGTTTAATATAATTCAGTAACCATAATTATTTAGACAATCTTCTTGAGGAAAAAATCGATTTTGCAAGATTTCCCATTGCTGTCGGCGGATATCTTAAATTTAAACGTAGGATATTTTTTTATAATAGTAATAAGGAATTTGATATCGGATATTATTAATTTGTGGTTAACGCAGTGAAATGAAGTAAAACAATCTAGTGGCAGTAGCAAAATACAAGTGCGGAATGAATCTTGACAATTCATCGAGAGAGAATTCAGAAGCATTGGACTCCATTAGCACAGTCAGTCCCAGAGAAAAGTATCACGCAATGAAAGATAAAAAAATGTCCGTACCGAGTACAGAAGGAGCCCGCCCTAAAGTTGTAACAGTGAAGCACCCTGAATCAAATAAACCTAAGCCAACAGCCAAGAAAAATAAACCTATTCAAGCTGATTTAGACGTAATTAAAGAGTTTGTCAGATGTCGTGATGAAGGGCTTAAAAGGCTTGATCTCAGTAAATCATCTATTACCTCTTTACCACCCAATGTAAGAGATTTGACTCATCTGGTTGAGTTTTATTTATATGGTAACAAGTTAGTTGCATTGCCTGCAGAATTTGGCTGCTTGACTAACTTACAAACGCTAGCATTAAATGAAAACTCATTGACAAGTCTGCCTGATTCTCTTGCTAACTTACGATCATTAAAAGTTCTTGATTTAAGGCACAATAAGTTAAATGATATTCCAGAGGTAGTCTACAAATTGACATCATTGACAACATTATTCTTGAGATTTAACAGAATTAAAGTTGTTGGAGATGGCATAGAAAGTTTGATTAATTTAACCATGTTAAGCTTACGAGAAAATAAAATAAAGGAATTGTCATCAGGAATAGGCAATTTGGTCAATTTAGTTACTTTTGATGTTTCACATAATCACCTGGAACATTTACCTAAAGAGATTGGTAATTGTATAAACTTGAGCACATTAGATCTGCAGCACAATGAGTTATTGGATATTCCAGAAACTATTGGTAATTTACAATCCTTAACCCGTCTTGGCCTAAGATATAATAGACTCACCTCAATTCCATCAACTTTGAGCAATTGTGTACACATGGATGAATTTAATGTAGAAGGAAATTCTATTTCACAACTGCCAGATGGACTTTTATGCAGCTTGACAGAACTTACTAATATTACTCTATCAAGGAACTCGTTTGCCAGTTATCCCTCAGGGGGCCCAGCTCAATTTACAAATGTTTTTTCTATTAATTTAGAACACAATCAAATTGATAAAATACCATATGGTATATTTTCAAGAGCCAAAAATTTAACTAAATTAAATATGAAAGAAAATCTTTTAACCTCCCTTCCCCTTGATATTGGGACTTGGTCAAATATGGTGGAATTAAATTTGGGCACTAACCATCTCACAAAATTACCTGATGATATACAATGTCTTCAAAATTTAGAAGTATTAATTTTATCAAATAATCTTTTAAGGAGAGTCCCGCCTAGTATTGGAAACTTGAGAAAGCTTAGAGTCCTTGATTTGGAAGAGAACAAATTAGAAGTATTACCAAATGAAATTGGATTCTTGCATGATTTGCAAAAGTTGATAGTTCAGTCTAACCAATTAACAACTTTGCCTAGATCTATTGGTCACTTGGTAAACCTTACTTTCTTGAGTGTTGGTGAAAATAATTTGCAGTATTTGCCTGAGGAAATTGGCACTCTAGAGAATCTTGAATCACTGTATTTAAATGATAATCCAAATTTGTGTAATTTGCCATTTGAACTGGCTTTATGTATTAGTTTGCAAATTATGAGTATTGAGAATTGTCCGTTGACATCAATTCCACCTGAAGTTGTTTCCTCTGGACCCTCTTTAGTTATTCAATACTTGAAATCTCAAGGACCATACAGAGCCATGTGATATGAGGAAGATGAATATTTGCCCTCTTCATCTGGCACTGAAATTTCTTAACTTTGAACAGTATGTAGCCATAGGTCAAGTCTTAATCCAATTGATAAATGGCTCTTATTCCTGCCAGAATAAATGATAATAGTAACTTACTTTTATTTAATACCTACAAGTTAGTAGGCATTGGGTATTTTCATACAATTATGTGCTCTTAAAGTTTTGTGTAATACCGGTATTACAAAATTGTATTGAATCCCTAGTTATTTAATTCTGTTTTAATTTAATTTAATCCAATTTAATCCAGTGGCCAAAATAAATGGTTTTATTTTATTCATAATTACATAAGATTATAATATTTATTCTTCAATGTAACCTAATGTTTAAATGTTTTAACTGTATTTGACAATGTGTAAGATGTAAATGTGTTGAATGTATTTTTTAATAATCATTAGATGTATATATGACAGACAAATACCATGAAATTATTTTTTCTCTTGTAATAAATATACATTATACATTTTCTAATAGTCACAGTAAATTTAAATATTCTCAGGTACTAAATTTATAGTTTAGAGATATTATTAATACACCCATTGTTTCTCCTCTAGAAATTAATGGCTAGAAAATGTATAAACTTTTATTGTTAGATAATAATATTCATAATATTGTGTAATCATATCCTGTATGATTTAAAATTTGGCAAAAGGATCTCATTACTTAACAGTATTGGTCAATGTAATGCTTTTTTCTATTAATTATATAATTGGCATACTTATATAATGTTAAAGTATATATTATATAAATTTTAAACAATTAAAAATCTTTAAGCTGTTACTAATAATTATCTATACTTTATATCTTCCATGTTACTCCTCAACGTGAATGTTTGTCATTATCAGTGTTGTTTGTAAAAATGTTGCATTTACTATTTTTATGTTTATATAAACTTTGTTGTAGGTAAGTATGAACTTCTATGCTCACAAATAGTCTTTAATTTTTATACAATTTTTCAATACATAGGTACCAGGTTAGTAGGTTAGGGTGCGTCCACATCTGGCGAATGTGCAGATCGCGAGCCGCTAGCGCGCCGCCGCGCCCGCGCGCTTATCGAATACGGCGCTTAGGTTGCGCGCGGCCGGCGCACAAACGAAAATGCACGCGCGCAGCTCGCGAGCTGCACATTCGCCAGATATGGACGCACCTTTATATTGTGCGAAAGAACAACCAGCAAAGCTTTATAGAAATACGCTCCAAATTAGTACGTCGTCGGCCAATGCGTCATTAAAATGTTTAGCACATAATTGCGATTGTTCCATAGAATGGTTTGAATTTTTAAATGTTTTAACTATGACCGTATATAATTGGAGATTGCGCTCTAATAAACCGCTATTTAATTAATATCAATTAGTCATGCGCATGCAATTTAAAAATTTTGGCTGACAATAAACTACATATTTGGTATTTCAATATTGCAGCCTATTCGTCACTTATTAATAATTATTTATAAAATTTATTTGCATCTGTGTAAGATTTATGTACTCTTCAATGTGTTAAAAATAAATATATACCAAAAATTCAGTTTAATAATTTTTAGCAGCAATAATTACCTTTGTGGCTTTCATTTTGCAGTATACAAGAAAACAACAGATAAATTCAATAATTTATAAAGTGCAGTTACACAAGTTTATAATATCGTTAGATTGCGCATTTGTTCTTACAATATAAATAATTGAAGTTATATACAAATATATTATTTTGAAGCATCACCTGTAATACAAAGCAATCTATAATATATCTAAAGAACAATAATCGTTGCGTTGCAGTTATCGCACTTATTCAACCTAAGCTTACATACAAAAATATTCACCCTAATAAATCGCTATAAAACACACAATACGTCATTTGCCTGCTCAGACAATATGAATAAATTCAATACAAAATTCGAGAAAATGAGACAAAAATACTAGAATAAATATAAGTTTAAACCAACTTTACAATCTATACATCTTAAAAAAACTTTAATTATTGAAGGTTTTAATTTGTCGCACTACACATTATTTAGTGGAATTTAAGATGTATAACAGTTGTAAAAGTATTTTTTATAAAATATCCAAAATTTGTGTTACCTTTAAATCACTAAACTTAAAGCTTTAAAAATGCTATTAAATGCTGCTGATTTTGATTACATGTAAAAAAATCATTAATGCAACTAATGAAGGTTACTATTTGTGTTTGTTTACAATATTAATATTTTACTAGCATCTATTATCAGTCCTTATTAAAAAATTACATACATAATATCATGAATATTTTTCAAAAACCTTTGAATATCATCATTGAGGTTCATAAGTGTAATTATACAAAAATAACATTGTCACTCAATAATATTCAACAGTAACAATTTGTTTCCAACCATGGGTCCAGTTATCTAACATTAAGTTACAAATCAAACTTATACCTAGTCATAAATCTTTGGCATATCTATTTAAGACAGAAATGAATATATACATATGTATACAAGTATTAGAGATGTACATATTGTGATGATCACTTTGTAAACCTGGAAACAGTATGGCACATAACATTAGAAAAAAAAAATCATATCTACATAATTTCCATTGTAATATTTGTAAATCAAGGTTTTTTACTCAATGTTTTTAAATTGGTATAGAAACACATTATTACTGTCACCTTGAGATTCCTGCATATAAATGTGACATTATTTTGCCTTTTTGTGCATCATATTTACATGATCAGACACTTCCTTTGATGTCTTTTCTGAGGCTCTGGTCTTAATACAGCACGAACAGCTTCGTCAAACACCTGAAATGTTAAAAATATATATCACAAAAATAACTATATACCAAATTAAATTCTATGTCAAATTTTTCTAACTTTAACTGCCTTCATTGTCAGTAGTATAAAGACAAAACAGCTTTAATATCAATATACACATTTTAAAACTTAATAATATGAAGTAAATTTAATAAAATAAGTAACTCAGGTTGTGTCCATTTATATTTGATTTTTCATCATAGTCTCAAATTAAAAATTACCTGCTTAAGCCCACGTTGAGTCAATGCTGAGCACTCCATATATTTTACAGCTCTTATTTTATTTGCGAGCTTTTGTCCTTGTTCTCTTTTCAGCGGTGACATTCCTTGCTCTGAGAGCAAACTCAAAGTTTCACGGTCATCCCTTAGATCTATTTTTGTACCTAATAAAAAATAATTTTATAAGTATAATGGGTGTTACTGCAAGTTTTATTTTACATATATAGTCAATACTTACCAACCAAAATAATAGGGGCATCAGGACAGTGATGTTTAATTTCTGGATACCATTTTGAGGTCACATTCTCATACGATGATGGACTGTAATAAGAAAAACATTTTAAACCACTAATGTTTAGCTAATTGAAACATAAAAATGTAATAGCTAATTGTGTTTCTTGTACATAAACAACAAAACGGTTCAATTGTACTAAATAGGGTCTCTACAGATAGACACATTGAATGTGTTTGTCAGGTGCCATTTTATAATACAGTATGTATAGGTAAAAAATTCAGTTTAGAATTTCCTCACTGAAAAGAATTCCTGAAATATGATTAATAAAGATTCAAGAAATATGCAACGAGTAAAAAAAGTAGAACTAAATAGAAATATACAAACATGATAAGTAAAAATATAAACAGATACCTTGTAACACTAAAACAAATCAGAAACACATCTGTCTGAGGGTAACTTAATGGGCGCAGTCTATCGTAGTCTTCTTGACCAGCTGTATCCCACAACCCTAACGACACAGCAACACCATCCACCACCATAGGAGCAGAATAGTTGTCAAATCTACAAAAACGTCATATGTTAAGTCATGGTACCTTAATTTTGTACTTAATAGGGATCGAAGACAGCAATTTAATCGTTTTAGTCCGAATGTTTATATTCGTAGACTTACACAGTAGGTACATATTCTCCGGGAAAGCTGTCAGTCGTGTAAGATATTAGCATACAGGTCTTTCCCACTGTTCCATCACCAACCACCACACACTTAATAGGTCTTCCAGAAGACATCTGAAAGAACGTAAATTTATGGTGAAAAATAAAAACCAGAATATGACTCACTAAAAGTAGGCACCAAAGTCGAGTCTAAGCAAACAAAAAGCTTCACCTTAAATTTGAGCTTAGTTATAAATTGTTTCTTTTATCAAACTATTTTCTGTTATATATCTGCGGTATTTTGGATTGACTTAAACTAATCTAACAAATAAAAAGCGTAGAATCCATTTCCATCCCGAGGAAACACATTGATAGATAAATATTTAATTACCAGATGCAAAATATTAAATAATTTCGTAATTTGCCAGACTAAAAAATTTATCGTGCTTAGAGATTATTGAGGGTTATCTGTTTATTGATCTCGTTTTTAAAACTGACAGTCATATTGTCAAAAGCTTAAGTCATCTACTAGCGAGTACAGAGTACAGACTGTTCAGTGCTCACTGCTCACCGCAGTGTGCATTCTTGATTCTATTTTCTATATTGCAACTTCATAATCTTGGACGTTCTCCCATGTCCACTAGTGTATCATAAATCATTGTTCATTCCATTATTTCCAGTTTAAACAAATATTTTTATTACTTGTGTGATTTTTTTCTTTTTGTTGTTTTATGGTTTTTAAATCGTAAGTTTATATTTTTGTTTAAATTTAATAGCGAGTAATACAAAAACCAACATTATCGTAAACATCGCGATAAAACCACTATCAACAAAACTATCGATGTTATCGATTAAACAATAATTAAATTTGTCGTTACATTTAACGGAAAGGGTGAAGCCTAACTGAACCGTCGGTATATTCATTCAACTTTTATAAATCTATTAAGCTTGCGTACTGACGATACGCTTATCTATTTTTTTTATTATTATTAGATGAGTGAATCATGTGTGGAAACGCCTGAAGCACCAGCTTGGTTATCCAAGCTTGAGAGCCAGAGAGAAAAACTAAGTAAAGCTAGATTAGGTCACGACAGTGGTGCTGGAGCTCCATGCAATTCTTGTGGTAGTTATTAAACATTTTGTCTTACACTGAATCCAAATACCATTCCTCTTTTCGTGGATGATACATACTGAATTTGAATTAATATTAATTTAATTTTTACATTTAACCATTACATTTGTATGTCTAGATTACTGGAATTAAGTGATTCGTAAGTAACTTTAGTCAATAAAATGCAAATAGCATTTTTATTCAGCCTTAAATTCTTTTTATGTAGAAACCTTACATTATGTAGATTTTTGTTATTAGCTCATTATGTTTTTCCACGCCAATATTTAAGTTTGTTAGATTTAAACTAATTGTGTTGTTCTTTAGTATATGTGCTTGCTAAGTGATCAATGTTTATCTAGATTAATTATATAATTCTATTTATACCTATAAGATAAACAATTATATTTTTCAGGATCGTCATGTCCAGGATTAGATCTTCATTTCTGGAGAAAAGTGTGCCGAGCATGTCACTGTAGTAAGGATGTACATGATGTTCAAGATGATGATTTATCTGGATGGGCCCAGTTTGAACTTCTTGGTACAGCTAAACCTAAGAAGGCTTCCTGTAAGTTCTAAGAACTTCTCTTTTACTAAGCACTAGAAACTCTTTAGTATCAAAAGAAAGTCAATTTAATTTCTATTTTCTGAACTCATCTCACATAAGGTTTGGACATGAGCTCTTAAAGCTCTTCCATGTCACTTAAATGATCTTAAATACTATACATCTATTATAACTACCTCATTAGTTCTTTTGGCTTTGGATTTGTAGGGAAAATCTTTTTTTTTTACATAACAAGTATACAGAATATTTCAAAACTTTTGAACTGTATGTAGTAACAGCACTAAGTATTTTGAGTAAGTTATAGGATTATTAGATTACTTTATGGGTTAATGTCAATTGTTGAGCAAGGTTGTGCAGCCTTCATGTTATAATTAATTTGCTCCACATAGTTTTGCCTAAGAGTTTCCACTCTTAATATGATTAATAAATATAAACAGGTATATTAGGTAGTATAATAGGTTTTGTTCTCAAGATATTTTCTAATCTTTCCAGTGCCTCTAATAAAAATTCGTGGAGTCACAGACAAGCCTGTTAAACTTGACTGGGTTCCTCCTAACGCTTCAACTGAATTGGTATGTATGAATCAATAAAAAATCTTAAAACATCAACTCTTTCCCTGTTTTTGTTATTGCACAATACACATTTGATTTGTTACAATTTTTTCTGATGGTGTTGGTATCTATGGATATTTTGTTATATATAGATATTTCCAATAAGTATTAGATAAGCTATCAGAATCCTGATAATATTGTATGAAAGTACATTATTTAATTTCATAATCATACATGTATTTACAATTATTGTCTTTTAAAAGCAAGGTTTTTATATTTATTACTTAATTAATAGTAATCATCAAAGTATTGTTATTATTCTCCACCTTTTTACTCTCAACCCTAAGATTGAGCATTCAATTCACAGCTGAAAACTGAACTTTTTGTTTGTAATTAGTACTTGCCCCTAAAAATAGCTAAATAAGCCAGGCACAGAAGACCAAAAAAATTATAGAATCAAGAATGAAATTGGATGCCAAAACCCATATAGGGGTTTAGCACCACTGCATTATTATAATATGTATTTAGCTTCATTAAATTTTTGGTTATGATGTCAATCCTGAGGCAATCAAACTTCCTGATACTACAGGAACAAGACGCCTAAAGTAAATTAAAGATTTTGAGCTAGTAAAACTAGTACAGTTTTGCAAAAGGAAATATAAATGCAGGTACTGAAACATAGAACTACCTACTTACCTAACCATGAAATACCTACTAGCTGTGTAAAAAAAATTAACCATAATTATTTTACTCTTTTGTAGACTATTGAGTCTCTATGATTGTTATCACTTAGGTGTCAGAATACATGTCGTGCCTTGGACCACTCGCCCCTGTGTCCGGCAGTGATGCCGCTCGTAAGCGTCGAGCACAACTCCGGACCCAACTCCCACCGCACGACGTGGCACCAGCCGCTAGACATCATGCAAGTGATCAAGAGAAATCTGAACATACCGTAAGTATTTATTGTAATACTCAACTGTGTATATCTTACATAAACAGAATTTTAAATTTGAACCATTTGTTTTAGAGATTAGTGTGTTTAACCTAACAGTTTCCAGGTAGAATTCGTAATTTCCAGTTTAGTCACATATTTTTCTGACTGGGATGTTGTAATAGAATTTGTTCCAAGTAATGTCTTCCAGGTGTCTAACAACTTCCAACCTATAAATTTATCAATTAAATTTTCGTTTCATTATTATTATGCATATACACGCAATATGAATAAGATAATTGTGAAAGTTTAATTAATAATGTATGGTACATAAGTGAATATCCAATTTCTCTGTTTTAGGAATATATCACCCGTATCAAGGATCATGTGGTGGGCATGGGCAACGTCGTCAGAGTCGGCCCCTTACAAAGCGCCGAAATATGTTCAGTTGAAAATAGCAAGGTACATACTGCACCGAAATCCTATGCCCTGCCATTAAAAATATCTAACATATCTAGGGGTGTCAAGTATAATATTGTTCCCAAAAATGCATCTGATAAAAAACTTGTATTGGATTCCCAAGGTAATGTTGTTAGTGCCGCCAATTTGCCAGATTATAAGTCAAGCCCCATACTTAGTCGTATTGTCAAAGATAAACTCCATATTATGCGAATTGAATCTGATAGAATTAAGAGCGCTGTTGAACATGGCCCTGTATACGATAAGCTTTTGAAGAACCTAAGTGATCTTAACTTGCCAGTGACAAATGATGTCTACTTGCAACCAATCAAGTTATTCCGAGATGAATGTAATAGAAACCCTGAATTCAAGGAGGAAGTGAATGAGTTTGCCCAAAAATCACTCGGGGCTCAAATGATACCTGACTTATCGGTCATAAACAATAATATAATGGGAACAGCCAAACTCCTTGATAGTAGATTGCAAAAGGGAACAATTTTTGCTCCAAATGGAGAAATTTGGAGTTGGAAACAAGAACCAACAACACCTGAACATAGTGGTACTCTTTGTTCTACAAAAATAAGTCCTCAGTACTCTACAACAATGAAACCTTTGAACCAAGTAGAGCCACAGCAAACAGCTCCTTTGAGAGAATATGTCAGGAGCCACTCAGAAGAAGATGCACCTCCACCACTACCTAATTACAATACACACCCTGGAAACATGCCTAATACTTTCACAGACATGCACTCGGACGTGCCCATACAAGTTGGGAATTATATGGAGCAACTTGATCCTATTATGACTCAATTCGCTGATATGTCACTTAATCCAGCCGAAGTTGAGTTTAACAGGAAACTGTATAATGAAGGAGTGCCTTGCCAGCGTTGTGAAAAGCCTATGTTCGCGGGTGAGGTAGCAGTGAAAGCAGAACGGGCAGGCCAAGAAGCCATCTGGCATCCACAATGCTTCACTTGCTGCAAATGTGGTGAACTCTTAGCAGATCTAGTGTACTTTTACTACAAAGGAGAGATATATTGTGCTAGAGACTTGGCGAACGTTCTTGAAATACCACGCTGCGCCGGTTGCGATGAATTGATATTTACTAGACCTTACACGGCTGCCGAAGGACGGGCTTTTCATGTGCAGCACTTTTGTTGCTATCACTGCGATGCGCCTTTGGGGGGAAAGAAATATGTACCAGATGATAAAACAGGATTGCCAATTTGTTTAACCTGTTATGATCAATTTTATGCCGAAAGATGCCGCGCCTGTGGGGGTGTAATTGGTCCAGAACAACAAGGTGTGTCATGGGGTAACATGCATTGGCATGCTAATTGCTTCATATGTTCAGGAAGAATGTGTGGGAAAAGTTTGTTGAGCGGTCGTTTTGTGGTGAAACAGGAAATGCCTTTCTGTAGTGTACCATGTGTACAAAGTAAAATTAAGTGAGATATAGAGTTTTTTATAAACAGTTTTTTATATTTACATAATATACAATATATAATTCTAGATATACTTAAATAATAATTTGTATCTTAGCATCTATTTGTTGGACCAAATTCACATAGTTTATTAAAAAACTGGGTTTTTTTTAATAATAAAGTACTGATTCTAAATTTAATAAATCATACATAATATGCTTTACAATTTGATAACCCAAACAAATCCATTCCATTTGTGTAATTTAATAAGTATTATAATAATATAAAGATGGATTTATAGGTTTAGGTAAAGATATTATATACAAGGATACCATAATATGTAGTACCTCTAAGACAATTGGTAATATGGGAACAACAATTTAGGATAAGCATTATATTTTTTACAAATATATATATATAATAGAACATTGTGTGTTGTGATAATCATAGATGGGAAAATTTTATATTAAAAAAAAAAAATTTTTTTATCATAATACTGTTAATTTATGAAAAAATATCTTTAAGCTTGAAATAAGAAATAAGTTAAAAATTTGGCCATTATGATACTAAATATGTTATTTATATGTACTTTAATTTATGTTGTAATGTAAAGTATTATAATATGTGATAACTAATCAGACATGACAGGACATTCTATCTTGTGCCATTGAATGCATTTATACTTATATATTTTATAAAACAGTAAAAAATAAAAGAAATAAATTACTTACTAAATGTTTTATTTAAATTATTAACATTAATTTTAGACAAATAATGGTATAAATTGTACCAGAAAAACAATATAATATCTTGTAAGTTGTGTTAATAAATGCCTTTTTGTGTAAGTTTTTTGCAACCATGTCATTAGAGGAATTGATCTCTTTGATTTGACTGGTTTTATATAATAATTATTTTGTCTTAGGTCAAAGAATACATATTACAAAAAATACACTGAGGAAATGTATTTTTCAATGAACCAATACATAATTTAGAAAAGTATCTAACTCACATGCTAATGTAAAATGGATAATAAAGTATTAAAGAAACTTATTTTTTACTACTTCCTAGAACTCCAAATAAGGAAAATGACGTGAGAATACCACATTGATAGATACAATATAATTCAAGTTTATTTTAAGATGTTAATTTAAGCTGCAATTTTTAAATTGCCAAGATTATTTCTAAGCTTATTAACATTTTCTTGGATTGCCTCTTGCTTGTTCTCTAATGCGGAGATGTGAACATCTGTTCTTTTGATTTCTTTGCTTATGTATTCCATGCGTTTAGCTACATTCTGTCTTGCGTCTTCCAATTCTTGTTTAACTAATACGGGCCCAATAAGTTTATATACCTCAGAATCTTTCTTTAAGAGCATTAACTCTTCTTTAACAGCTTTGTTTTCATTTAATTGACCGTCTAGTTGCTGCTTTTGCGAAACTGCCTTCTGATATTCCTTTTGAAGGCTATTAAACACTTCGAGTTCCTTTTGCAATTTCTTTTGAATTTCTGCAGCCATATTGTTTTAAATTCTTTAAAATTATAAAAAGCTACTAAAGAGATATTTTAAGATTTGTAGATTTAACTTTGAGGTTATGTTTAGTCTAGTTTTTGACGGATTAATGATGATGATGATAATTGACAAATCGTTTGATATTTTTGTAGTACTCAAATCAATGGCGTTTGACATTGCTCAGTTTCCGAATGTTAATTGTCAGTGTAAACTAATTTTATGTAAAAGACAACGTATTTTGTCATCCAGTCGACACCACCACCACCATCCCTGATGGTTCATGTAAACTTCATTAGGGACCAATTGATTTACGTTAACCATAAATATAAAATATTACTTAATGCTGGCAAAACAAACAATTACTTTAAATTACTTTCAGGCCTGCCTTCAACTACTGTTTATAGAATACGACGCAGAACTAATAAGATATACTTATGTATTATGTATACATAAATTACCCTTTCCTCCAATTGCTTAAAATGCCCAGTCATTTTCAAGCCACTTACCAAGAGCTTACACCTCACAGTAATATTCATGCCGTTTTTTAATCTAATAGCTCTCTTTATAATATCAGGACCAAGTTTTTAGTTTAGGAATAATTTCTTGGTCTATATAATGCAATATGCTAATGCCAGGATGCGCTGAATTTCTAGGGGACCATTATGTTTCCTATTACATATTAAAAACCATCATAAAGCTAATAAATAGTTCCCCTTTCAACACAATATTTTAAGAATGAGAAGGTAAAGTTATAGACATAATCATTTAAATATGAAAAAAATCTGTTTTCATTTTTACTATAACTATGAAACTTATTGTGTAATTTACAGATTTTCACCGTATTCTAACGTCCAAGCGTAGCCAGCTTTAGGGTCACCGCTCTTTTCGGCTTCCTGCTGTATTTTTTCAGTCTTTCTTAAAACATTCTGTATAGTATTAAATAACTCTTTATTAGGCTTTATATACTTAGAACTTTTCGCCTCATTTAATCTTCGCTTTCCAAATCTTTCCCGAACAAACTTTTCATACAAATCTTCGTCTTCATCATCTTCATCTTTTTTGCCAGAACTTTGTTTACCGTTCGTATTGTAATTCTTACTAAAACTGTCTCTGTACGTGTAATTAGCATCGTCATGTTCCTTTGGAGATTTCTCCGTCTCCGATTCATCTTCTCCAGACTCATCATTGTGCCAATTACTTGTTTTTTGCTTTGGATAAACTGGTTTTTCATAATTATAAGATAAAATATCATCAGGTAGTTTAATTTCAGGTAATTTTATGGATATGTCACTGAATTTAATGTTCAAGTTTTCATCAAATTCGTCATCTTGAGGCTTGGGTGATGTTTGTCCATTGGTATCTAACTGTGGTGAATAAGTCTTTGAACTTTTGACATTTCTATTAGGCATTGTTTGTACATATTTATAATCTAATGGAATTCGTTCCACGTCTAATTTTAAATCTTTTTTATTTTCTCTGTCTTTTAAATTTTCAAAAAGTGGTAATTCTTCACTTTCTTCATTCGATTCAGTACTACTCTCCTCATTGAGTTCCTTGACTGGTTTGACTTCATCATCATGAATGTTTCTAAGTTTAGAATTATTTTTATGTAAAGAATGATTCAAGCCAGCATCAAAAGGTTCTAGATCAACGCCTACGTCCGGAACTATAGTTTTAGAAATAAACGACTCTTTGCTGTTGTCATCGTTTGACTGTTCAGTACTTTCGTCACTAACGTTGGTATTCAAATTCGGATCATTGTTTTTAAATTTAGCTGTTGGAGAGTCATAATTTTGAGATTTACTGTTGTTTACATCTAGTAAATTATTTTCTTCCTCCTTGTCTATTTCCTCACTTTGCTTGATATCATCGTTATATTTATTTACCTTTCGTACTTGATCTTTTTTTTCTTCACTTTCGTTACTCTCACTATTTAGTCCATCTTCTCCATTATCTTTATTATCATTCCTATAACTATTTGTAGACTCTAATGGTTTATTGGGTATTTTCAACTCTATACTTTCATTACTATCACTTCTACCTTCCTCACTATTGTGACTCTTTACGGGTAGTTTAAATTGTATTTTATCTCGGTCTACACTTAATGTGTTTTCTTCTGAATTAGAAGATTTCTCTTCGTCGCTTTCAGAACTGTTGGATTCTGAACGGGGATCATCTTCTACTTTACGGGAGGTATCAATTTTTCCGATATGTTCACTTTCTCTCGAATTGCTTTCACCATCATTTAAATAAGATTTATCCTTGTTGAATGATCCTCTATTGACCTCACGACTGTTGTAGTTTTGGGAATTCGATATTTCGCCTCGTACATCACCGTTGTACTTACTTTCCCTAGAATCATCATTATTATTTTGTTTATGGTTTGATATTTCTCTACTCTCTTCATCTTCTTTTGATAAACTAGAACTTTCACTACTTTCGTCTATTTCTTGACTGTTTTTATTTTGTGGCTTATATGAATTTTGCTTAAAATTGTCATTTTCATTGTTGTTATCTTCTTCTGATTGTTTACTTTGATTGATTTCGATTGTATCACGAGGTGTTAATCTATCATGGGATGTCTTTATTAGAAAGTCGGCTAAATTCGAATTCAGTACAATGTCTTCATTTTCCAATTTTCCATTACTTTTTGGGCCATGATGAGTAACGTAATCGTAAATAAGTGGTGTTGATCTTCTTTTTCTTAAAGTATTTTTGTAGTGCCCTGTTGACGTTTTGGTTACTTCCTTATTACTGTTTGCTATTTTGGAAGGTTTAGGGCTAACGTTCCCTATCTTTATGTTAACATGATCAAGTTGAGTATTTGATTTTATCTCATTTTTATTTATAGATTCTGTTGAGTTTTCATAACTTTGTGTTATATTATTTCGAGTTCCAGTGTCAGCAGCAGTATTGTTTGTAATATTTTCTGTCGCATTATCTTGTTTAGTGAGGGAATTGTTTTTTACTACAATTGCATCCGTAATCTGTAAATATTCATATTAAATAAATTGGTTGACAACTCGCATTAACAAAATAGAATCCAACCAATTGATAAATAAAACACAAATCTACTTTCAATGTTTATTAGTAATTAAATAGCTTATTCTATTATTTACACTGTGGAATTCTCTACAGAAAACATACTTCAACATCTACATATTATCTAAGCTAAATACTCCTAATTCATAATTTCTCTTTTTAAGTGCTTGTTAAACCAAGTTATAAACGATATTCCTCTGAACTACAATTTTATAAATTTTTGATAAAACCAAAGCAACACAATGTAATGCGTAAATAAATATGTACTAATTTTAGGGAAGGGTTAAAATGATTGTCATAGGTTCTTTAATATTAAAGGAATTTAACATTAATATTTAAAATATTATTTTTAAGGGGGCAATATATTAATAATAAATATTTACAAAAATATCTACGCTCTATGAATTGCAGGTATTTATTTATGGCAACATTTAATTTCGTTCATATGCTTAAATATCAAAATAGAGAATGTAACCAGTTCAAAATAAAATGTGTGGGTGAATTCGATAATTCTAGGGTTAAAAAAAAATGGAAATCACATTAAGTTAAATAACAATTAATAGTGTGCTTACCAATAAATAACTGAATTTATTCGGACGTGGACTTGTACATTTTTACTTTATATTTTCATACATCACCAAAGCAGTATACGAGATTGCATTGACCATTTTCTAAATAATTTCCATAACTACATTACCTTAATCTACTGACTACGCATTAGTATACGTCATATAATACACGCATTGGATATTCAATATGGATTTATTACCCCCTTATTCATATAAACGGAATCTGTCTAATTACACTCATTTGACAAATTGTCTCCTTTTCTTTTTCTTTTCTTTAGTTAGAACAGTGAATCGACTGATTTACTTTTAAAAAAATAAGGGGGAAATATAATTATAGTCGAATCGAGTCGATATTTCAATATTTTAAAAACTTATAAACTCGAATCGAAAGTCGAAAATTCGGTAGCTAACAGTCGTCACTAAGAGATTTAATTTCTCAAACCAAATACAATATCCAATGCTTACAAAATTACTACTGTGCTATTTTACTACTTCCCGTGAAAGGAATTAAACCCGAAACTACTCACGTATTGTTTTGCGGCACCGAACGGTACCGGCTCTGCCCATTTAGAAAAGTCCATAGATGGCAGAATACCACTTCTGCAAGGTACTCTTGGGTTCCTAAAAGAATGAAGACATTTCCATAAATTTGTGACCTCGGGAAGACGTGCAACAGAATTCTTCCATTTGTCTCTGTCTAAAATCTCTCTTTAGATACTTTAACATTTCTATAGGACAAATTCTACATTGACTTTTCTGATAATTTTTCGTAATATAATAATTTGGAAACTTTGGGTTTAACCCGTAAATGACTATGTTATAGTAGGAAGTTAGAAAAAAATATTATTACTAGTTATGGCCCTGTGCTACCAACGCCTTTGAAAAGAAACAGGAAAAAATCTGCACAAAGACCACCACCTAGAGGTATGAAATATACTTTACGAACTTATTCCTATTATTATATGTTAAAATTTTAATCAAAATCCGTCGAGCCGCCTCAAAGCAATCAAAACGAGATTTTGATATATAGATTTAGGATATATTATAGTACTTACAATTCGTGGTCAGGTAAAACGAAGGGATAGACCTGGACTGTGTCAATGATGTCAGTGTTGTCACAAATCACTCGTGCGAGACGGGACTTTTTAATTTCTGTCAGTTGCTCCGGTGTGAAAGATGACGGTTGGTGTGGCAGCTCGAACCTGTATACATAATTTTGTTTGATTTATAAAATATTTTTTATAACCGTATAAACGAAATATATAAAAAGATTATACCGATTTCAAATAGCTGTCTCATTAAAAATATGTAGTTTTTATATGTAATAGGAGGCAAACGGGCAGGAGGCTCACATGATGTTAAGTGCTACCGCCGCTCTTGGACACTCACATTGCCAGAAAGCTTGTAAGTGCGTTGCCGCCCTTTCAAGAATTGTTACGTTATTTTCTTTTTCTTATTATTATTGGTTCGGAAATACTTCAGTGGGCAGCTAGTTCCACATTACTTAAAATGTTAATTTACCAATGTTAACAAAACGACTGAACCGAATTTCGTCATACTTGGACGTTCCCTAAATCGGAATATATCTGAATTTAATCTCCATATGACTTTTAGTTATTGAAATTTGTGAACATTCAAGCACTTAGTACGAAAAATATCACATAAAGGTCTTACTAATAACCTTAATTTTAAGACGGGTACTAGAATAATATCTATTAGAACATGTTATAACTCCATTAGAGCAGTGTTGGCCTAGTGGCTTCAGCGTGCGAATCTAATCCTGAGGTCGTAGGTTCGATCCCCGGATGTGCACCAATGGATTTTCAATGTGCGGATTTAACATTCGCTCGAACGGTGAAGAAAATTATCGTGAGGAAACCGGTTTGCCTTAGACTCAAGTCGATGGCGATGGCGTGTGTCAGGCACAGGAGGCTGATCACCTATTAGATTAACAAATGATCATGAAACATATACAGAAATCTGAGGCCCAGACTTGTAGTACCTGTGGCGACTCTGATTTTTTTGATGTAATAACTCCTGTGATAAAGCCTTTCGTAGCCAGATTTTTACGTATACAAGAGTTGATTATTGGTTTATTTATGGAGATCGCATTGGCTTCAAAATTACTAGACCTATTTGAGTTATTTTGATTAAACTGTATCGGAATTTTAAATAAAAATAATATTACTTCTTAAAATATAGTAAAGGGGCGATCAGTCAATTACAGTAATAAAATCTCACCAGAATCTGTCTCCCCTTCGTGAATACGAGAATTGTGTTGCAATAATACAAGCGAAAGTCGGTCCCAACATGGAACCGCGTAGGGGCCTCTCTGATACTCCTCCCGACCACAGATCTATATCAATCGGATGCTCGAATATTGTCTCGTACTTCCTCAATGTCTCATTTGGCATAGACCCGAACAAATCCTGGAAGGTGTTAGCATCTGACAAGCCACAGAACTTCCTGAACTCCATGTAACCGGGGATACCGAACTCCCGTCCTCTCTGCATGTTGAGGGAAACCAAATCCATTCCAAACCGGGCTCCGACCTTCTTAAAAAGATGATTGGTGACCTCTTGGGTGATAGAGTCGTCCATAGCTTGAGCAACTTGGTTCATCAGGCCCATGACGTATTCGTCGAGTACTCCAGCTCTGTAGAGGTCGTACGGTCTACGAATAAGATCTGACAAGCGCTTTGAAGCTGGAAAACGGAAAATTCTAATTTATATAAGAATTTCATTACAGTAGTTTATTATGCGGGGAATATTTCGCTGCTGTATAGACAATGTATTAATTTATTTATTATCAATTTATATGTAATGGCATAATAGTTGGTACATATAGCAATTAAAAAGAAAAGGAAATACTAAAAGTAATGTGAATAAAATGCATACATAAATTCCTACATTTTCTAACAGAGAACAATGTAGACTTTCACAATTAAAACACAAAAAAACGAAAAACTAATGTTAAGAGTCAACAACAAACAATGCTAGTTTCTAAAATACACCAAAATAATATATTACATACAATAAAATAAGAGCGTGTGTACAAAGTACACATGTCAGAAGTGAAACTTCTTAAATCTTGTAAATTAATTATTACTAAGGTAAAAGCCCCAATAGATGATCATGTACCAGTATATGATCACTCCATGTATTTGTATATCTATATTCACACTGTTTACACACAGTATACGTGCTAATGACTATAATACTCTCTCTCTCAATCTTTCTCACTATAGCTCTCTCCTCCATGGTACTGTGCGTGATGCGAATTTCGCTCTATCTCACTCTCTCTCTCGAACTTTCTCACTTGCTTGCTCCCTACTCTCGCTCCATGGCTATTTGCTTCATGCTTCGTTCGCCCTTCCTCACTCTCTCTTAATCGGTCTCATTCGCTCTCTCCCTTTTCTCCGACAAAAGCGCTGCACATCTTCGTGGCGCTAATATTCTTATTATTGCGTAAAAAATGTTACCCTCATGCGCCAAAGAAGTTTGTCTTCAAAAATATATATATAATTATTACAATAGTAACGATTAAATTATGGTTAAGAGGTGTTTATGTAAATGACTTTTAAAAGGCGTTAGATTCGGTAGCTAATCGTATTGGATCGGAGAGCGTATTCCATAACTTTATGGCGGAGATCCTAAAAAGCTTGCATAGGATGAGCTATGAGATAGAATTTCCAAAATGCATCTATCAGAGTAGCGTAATACATAGTTACATATTTGCGTTAAGACGTGTTACAAAAATGAGTAGAGAAATAGTAGGTATATTTCCAAACGTGTATTAACCATCTGTGCCACCTATCCCGTTATTTCTACAAATAATACAGGAGATGGAGCAAATATTTAAAATAGTTTTATCGTTTAATTATTATTAATAACACTTACCAATAAACTTGTGCGCTTTGGACCATCTCTCTACAGCTGTGGGCAGCAAAGAATGTCCGAATCGGTAAGCAGCTGATGCAAAGGCATCGATCACATCTGCATTTACTTCTGGATCATACCCATTCCAGTAACCCTTAAAGGTTAAATTTAACATTAGTTTTCTTAGACTACATTGAACAATAATTGTGACATGAGTGAGCTTTTATACAAATTCATGTTATTAGTTCGTTTCTACAATACTCATTCCGTACGTATTTAAGTCCTCAAATATGTTGTCTCAAGAAATTTGCTCGACTCATGTAAAAATGAAGATAGAGAAATTTTTAAACACTGCAAAATACTGTCAACAGCAAAAGTAATAAATGTCTTCTAGTCGTGCACTTTTTTAGAGGTGACATAAAAATCGAGTTGAGCATTACGTACAGACCCGAGCTGTAACGCAAGTTCGGCTTAGGTTAAGCAACTAAAAAGTAAGTAAAAGATCTATATTTATATGCATTTGTCGCGCTCCTAAACAAGACTGCTATGGTTACATTATTACAAACCACAGTAGTTGTCAAATGTAACAAATAATGATTTATCTAATATTAATGTATGAATATAGGCATTCGTTCCCTATTAAGTTACGTGCAAACTAAGAATTTACAACCATTTATATTCGACTCCTACAACCTATCAAACTCATGGTAAGTTCGGCTCGCGTGCGCAACTACATATAATAAAAATTGATCTTATACAAATGCTCTTTTAAAACAACTGTTTAAAATAGTATGAGCCAGTCTAGTTATACCTACTTTACAGAGCAACGTGTGGACTTATTACTAACCTATCTATTACTCTTATTGATGATTTAGACTTGTCATAATCCTAGCGATGTAATTGAAAGTTAATTTCTAGTATGAAAGGTGAAAGACATGTAATACGATTCCCTTAGAAGAAAAGCGAGAGTTGACGGTTGCAACTTTCCTGCATTGCATACAAATCTAACTAATTTGTTCTAGTTCTTGGAAGATTTTGTTTAATTCGCAAGATTAACATCGGACGGACATGCGTTTAGTAATTACGTAGGAACATAAATCAAAAATAATTAGTGACTTATAAGCCTTACACATAAGCCATGCGCTGACCGCTGCAAATCATTATAAACTAATAACTACTGATTACTAATATACAGTTAAATAAATAAACGTTGAATTAATTTAATACTTTAATATAAGCATAAATTCTTCATAAGCTTTTTTTAAAGTGTAGTAGTGTGTGTAAACCAAAGACAATA